CGGCCGTGACATCACGGCCAGCTCCACCCAGTTGTTATTCATTGGCCGGGACCTGCTAGAAGACTCTAGCAGGTCCCCGCCAATAGGAAACAGTTGGACGAAGCTAGCTGTCACTGCTAGCTCCGTCCAATTGTGTTTTTTTAATCTTTATTTATTTTTTCAAATTTAATATTTCTTTACATTTAAAAAACAATTTTTTACACTTTTTTTCTACTTTTTTCACTATTTGCTATTCTGCTCTATACAACGAAGGTACCGAGCAGAATAGCCGAGCCGAATTCTGCATGGCGGCATTCGGCTATTCACTCAGTGCCGTTCAGGCCCTTTGTGAATAGTGACGAACGAAAGCGAGTGAGCTGCCGGAGCTTCGGCTCAGCCAATCCAGATGTTGGATCGGCTGAGTCGAAGTCCTTCTGCACTTCGGTTCAGCTGAAAATGTGGAACATGTTCGGCTGACCGAAGTGCAGACAAAGGCAGCCAATGTACGGCTGATTTCAGCAGATGTATGGCTGAAATCAGCCGTATTGAGCCGGAGTGAATAGCCGAACGTTGTATTTCTCACTTCACATCGGCTGGGTTATTCACTCGGCTGCCTTTGGCAGCGTTGTGAATAAGCCCCTTAGTTTACTAATTTGTACTGAAATTAGAGTCCATCACAGAAGCGAGCTTGGAGCGGTGGCTACTTTACAACACACACAGGGATCATGGGGAACAAAAGTAGCCACCCTCCAGAAGGAAGGACAGTGTCAGCACCAATTCAGAGAGGATTTGAGGAGCTACAGCCGAGTGATGCATAGGATACAGTTTTATTAACAGTTAGGGTACTTGAATGCTTTTTTTAAGATTTAACTCCTGAGTTTAGTGTCACGTTAATGGCTATTTAGATAAAACATCAGCTACATATATAGTCTATTGGTTTCAGTGAGTTAGAAGACTCATAAGTAAAGGCACATTGGCTGGTTATTTAGCAAGGGAATTTCCCCTTAAGCTTAGTAAATGAGGTGAAGCTCTGCTGACTTCCATCATCCAATTATGTTCAAGAAAATATACTTGTTTTTTTACAATTTTTTTTCACATGATTGGCTATTCTTTGTAAAGTGAATTTTCACCACATGCATTAAGCTAGGGGAAACTCTACCTGCAAAGTAAAAAAAAAAATCCCTAACAAAGTGAACAGCCTATTTGCCTTTAGTAAATCAACCCCATAGGCTTGAACTGTCAGCAGGACCACTAAACCAGTGTAGTACTCTAAAGCAGGACGCATATGTAATGAGCAAACATGCATTTATAATTACACACTATTTAGACAAGAATGTCTTTTAAAACGTTGCTACATTTTGATGAGGTTCATGACATCATGCTGATCACTTTTCACACACTAAAAAAATAACTGAAATGTATATATTTCCTATATATTCCTTAATAGTACATAAGCTACCTTAACTTAAAGTTGAACTGCCTCTTATCCAATCAGAGAGCACCTTGTATTCATTGATAAAAATACAGTTGTTCTCTGAATGGTGGCTGTGCTGAGCACGCAACCCCCTGTGTTTTTTAGAGGCTATGGTCAGCTGCTCAACACAGCACCTTACAGGACCTAGAAGAATCCAAAGCTAGCGGCACGCCAAGCAAATTTGGAAACCACATTGCGTGCTTTATAAATATATATTATAAATATAAATATGCAGTACTATTTTTGTGCAGTATGGATACATCACTGCTTTTGTTATGCAACCCAAAAACATCTTTGCCAACATTCCAAAACAACATTAGGTTGGTCTGCTCTTATTGTGTGTGGCATACAATGGCTTATCTCTCACCTATACATGTTACATATGCTAAAAAGGGTATTATGAAGGACAATGTAATCCTGTAGAGGCACTTGTAGCTTGCAGAAAAAAAGTAAGCCTGCAAAAATGTGTAGCTGTGCCACATAAAACATAGAACATAAAACAACAATAAACACTGCAAAACCATATAGACAGGCATGGTCTTGTCATCCTCTCCCTTTTCTCATGGATAACTTCATGGATGCTTATATTTACCTTCTCTTTGTTCCTCTGTTGCAACTATGAGCTTACACAAAGCTAAGGATGATCACCTCACCCCCATATGACAGCATTGGATGACTCAGTGGCCAATCACCATGGACCAGAGCTGTCACATTGGAGGGAAGGGAATAAATCACCTGCTCCCCCATATGTCACTTTGGTTTGCTGAGTCAACATAAATGGAGAGGCTAAATGGAAAGTGAATATACGCAGCTATGGGGCTAACATTTTAGTAAACCTTTTGCTCTGCCCTTCTTGGGAAAATAATGTATTTGCTATTATAAGGGGACCAGCTGGTGGTGCCAAGTTCTGTAAAAATATTGTCCAAACGATAAGACTTTACCTATAGCAGCTGGCTTTTCTCTTAAGGCTAGTATACCTACTGGTATTTGGATGCTCCAAGGACTTGGGCACTACATTTGCATAACCGGGATGCCATCTGGGACCCCTCAGAAGGAGAGTTTGCATTACATGGATCCTGAGATGATAGGTAATCTGTGTGGGCAGGAAGTCAGGGTCGATGGGGCATCAGGCAGGTAGCATTCAGAAAGAAGTTAATTATCCATAGTGGAGTCAAGGCAGGGAACATTCAGAGACAGGCAAAGCAAGAGACACAGGTAGCTTAACACTATCACCACCCCAGAGCCCTATGCTTGAGATGCTCAAATAGAGTGCCACAGCACCGCAGACAATCAAGCTGGTGAGGCAAGGTGGCTGTGTTAGAGCACTGCTGTTGGCCAATTAGAGCAAGGAGTGGGTCAGACTGGGGTAGCCTTCAGTGTAGGAACACGAGTAATGCTCCTAGCAGTGGCTGTGGCAGGACATAGAGGGAGAGTAAACCTGGCTCTCCTAACAGCTACATGGGCAGTAACACAGCAGTGTTTAGGGGTCACAGGTGTTTTAAGGGTCTGTAAAGGTAAATATAATCATGCTTACTTGGTTAAACTACACCTAAAATAATTCTTTATTTTTTTGTTGCCCTTCTTACATTAAGCCTTCACAGTGTTTTTTTTTAAATCAAGTTTTTTTGTTCTTAAGAAGAAAGAAAAAAACGATGGCAGGTTATTCATAAGTACATGCAAATACATATGGGATTTTATTTTCCCTAATCCATTTTTTTCTTCCTATTTACGCATCCTTAAATAAGCCCTTTGATTTTGCAAAAATATTGTAGGGAAAAATAAATTATTGTTTTCTTCAACAGTGTTCTCAAAGACTACCTGTGGAGCTTTTTATTGGAAATTGCAGTATGTCTGCAAACATGAAAAAAACATAACGTTACAGTAATTATAGACCGTGGTTAGCTCACGGTATCTGGAAGGCTTAAAGACTAAAGAGTTCTGTTAATAGAAAAAAAAAAAAAAGGAAAAGTTTATGTGGACCTAGGAGAGAGTTCTCATGAAAGGCTGACTTAACCTTCCAACAAATTATACATAAATGTCACAGGAAGATAGTCCTAAGAGCCATGTCACACTTGCCATCCTTGCAATAGGAACATATAGTCACAATTGCAACCCCCTGTGATAGGTTTGCTAAAATGTGTAGTGAAAACACTCAGCTATGTGCCACGCCCTTGCCCCCAAGATTGGTAAGCCACCGCTTCCCCGCTTCCAAAAATGCTGCAAGCAACCAGGTGAGTGTTTACCTCCTTGCTATGTTCTCCATGGTAATCCTGCCACTGTAGCATCGGCCTAACTCAAACTATTGTTCCAGATGCCCCCTTGCACATTGATGGCTGGCCCTATTTAGAAACTGATGTGTATCGTATGCTATACTGTGGCTCCTGCCTTTCCCTATCTCCATACATAGAAGAATTAAAAGATATCTAAACCAGAATTCCAGTGTTCTTGTAACTTCCTGTGCTCTGAACTGATATCTAAAACAATATTATC